AGTCATTTAAAACTTAAACTAGAGAATTAACTAGAGAAGTAATTGTACAACAATTTTAAATAGAACAAACTACATTATTTTCAATTACTATATTGCTTTATGATGATCCTAGTACCTAGGGAAAATGCGGTCATTTAATTCTAAAATGTTATATATTGGGCTTCCCTGGTGGCGCAGTGGTTGGGAGTCCGCCTGCCGATGCAGGGGACATGGGTTCATGCCCCAGTCCGGGAAGATCCCACATGCTGCAGAGCGGCTGGGCCCGTGAGCCATGGCCGCTGAGCCTGCGCGTCCAGAGCCTGTGCTCCGCGACGGGAGAGGCCACAGCAGTGAGAGGCCCGCGTACTGCAAAAAAAAAAATAAATAAATAAAATGTTATATATTCAAAATGTATTTAGGTCATATTAAGGCTCAGAAATAGATGTACAGTATTAGTATTTTAAAGATATATAATTAAATCTATTAGACAACCAAATTTGCAAATATAAAGTATTATAATTGAATACAAGTAATATTTTATAGATATGAAGGGCACTACAATAAGATATTTCATTATTTAAATATTATTTAGTTCTAGATTTTCACTAGGTGGCAGACTTAGTGCAGTTTCTCAGTTTAATATAAATGGTGTAGGTTCAATTATATAGAACAGAAATGGCACATCACATGAATTTTGTTGTCCTATCTAATTTCAACTCTAGAAGTCACTTAAATACAATGACTAGATCACTCAATCATTTTATTACTGACTCTTACTAAGACCTCAAATACATCTGGCTACATATATATATATATATATATATATTTGTTTGATGTAATGTGTTAGAAAAGGATTATAAACAAAAGAATTCAAGCGGTCACAAATTTGTCTAAAGTTAGAAAAATAATATATGTGAAAGATAAAAGCCATATTTCTCAAAGAAAATAAAAATTTCTAAAAGTTGAGATACATTTTTCATTTGTTTACTCTTTGTTTCCTCAGAAATTCCTTCTCTGGCCATATATCTCAGTACCTTCCAGGATGTTCCTCACAAGCTATCCATTCACTAGCACCTTAAAGCTATTTAATTTGTGAACCACAGATTTCAGTCATCCACATTTATCATCCTTAGAAAAATATGTACATCCTTATAATTTATGAATTTTTTGCAGTTTCCTCTATTAGATCATAAGAGTCTAATCTAAAGGCAGGAATTTCACGTTCCACTTCTTTTTTATCTCCTGGAGACCAGAGCTCTCCAAGAGCAAACACTTGATATTTATTTGCTAAATTAGATACTAAATATTGTCCTCAGTAAATTGAAACAACAATAATGAAGTTATGATCTAACAACTCCTATTTCTGGATAAATACAGAAGTAGAGATTACAAAAGTTTAAAATAGAGTTGACTTGTAATATCTGAAACTCCGACATGTTGCTAGATATTCTTAATAACTTACTATTTTATTTGGGTCATTTGAGTTTCCTTTCCTACCTACCTATTTATTAAAATAGGGAGGGGGTCAGGTTCGTGTTCTAGACCCTGACTGTTTGTGTGTGACCCAGGCTCTGCTACCTACTAGAATGTTACCTTGAACGTTTTATTTGGTTTTTCTGGGCCTCAGTTTCTTCAACTGTAAACTAATAATTGTAAGTAAATCATAGAGTAGTTTTTGGAATTTGAAGAAATAGTAAGTGACTCTCTCGATTTCCTAAACAAGTTGGAAACTATCGAGACCCAAAGAAGTCAGGCAGTTGGGGATCCCATGCTAGGCAGAACTGTGTAGCGTTGGTGCCTGGCAGTAGTGGAGAACCCTGATCAGGACCCCTGCTAGACAACCACTGGGCCTGCCCTGTAGGACTGGGCTCACTTCATGGCCTGGCTTAGACCAGCACACACCCAAAGATACTGAAAAGGCAGAGTCAGGAGTGAGCCATATGTCCCCAACTCCTCCCAGGGAACAGGGGATGCAGATGGAAGCCCAAAACAAGGAGGTCCTTAACCTGCTGTTCTGAAGATTACATGAATCAATATATGGAAAGCTCTAAGAATAATGCTCTGTAAATTTTAGATATTATCGGGTTTTGGACCTTTCTTTAACCTTCCAAAAGATTAAAAAAAAAAAAAAAAGTGAAAAGACAAAGAGAAAAACCTCAGGTCAGTTAACTTTCCTTTTTAGAAACTCAGATCATGAATATGGCATTTATTCTCTAAATGAGACTACATGCTTTATCTTCATTTGTCCATGTTGCTACTCTTATTTATTCATCTTAGTTTCTGTTGTGACAGCTGACTGACACACCATATCATGGTAAATATCTTTAGAGACATTGTTCTTTTAAGATATTTCTTAAGTGAATACTTTTGAAACTTCAAGATGGTATGAGATTTGTCATTTCTTAGGCTTACCAGATGGAGTTGCACCAGCCCAAAAGTAGATTGATATTTTTTTCTATCAGGCCACTCTTCTAATTTTTCAAAAGTTTCTGAGAAAATGAACTTTTAATCAAATGTGCTACCATTGGGGACTTTTGAGCAAGAATAGAGCTTCTAAAAGAAAGTCCTGAGGAATACAGATTATATGGTGTTTCTCCATAAACTAGTGAAATCACACACCTCCTTCACCAAGATTTAATCCACTAAACCAAAAATACACAAATCGGAACTGCGAAACGTGTTTATTGTAACAAAGAATTATCAATTAGAGGAATATAATGTGTACTACTAGGACACTAGGAGGGAAACTTTGCCTTTCTGGCTGCTGTGCTTCAGTAGGAGGGCTGAGGTGTGGATGAAACCAACCAGAGTTTAATGCAAAATGCAATGTAATAAGCAGTATTACAAATAAACCAAATACCAGGAGCCACTGTGGATTCTGACTTTAAGCAATGGTACAGCTTCATCTCAATGAGATTTGATAAGAACTTTAAATAATTGTTGAGATTCCAAATATAGAGGTAGAGGAGGAAAGTAAGGAGGGAGGAAACTACATTTCAAGCAGAAATAGCAACAGGAGAAAAAAGAAAAAAGTTAAGAAAATAGTAATACCGCCACAACTAAGGAACAGGACCTGTTATGTATCAGACATTGTGCTAAGTCTTTCACAAACTGTATCTCTAAGTTTCATACCACCTCTCCTGTACAGAATCTGAGGTTTAGTGTTTCCTTAATCAACTCAAGGTGACAGAACTATTGTAAACCGTGATGAACTGCACAAATAAAATTACACTTTGCGGTACGTGGGCCTCCCATTGTTGTGGCCTCTCCCGTTGCGGAGCACAGGCTCCGAATGCGCAGGCTCAGCGGCCATGGCTCACGGGCCCAGCCGCTCCGCGGCATGTGGGATCTTCCCGGACCGGGGCACGAACCGGTGTCTCCTGCATCGGCAGGCGGACTCTCAACCACTGCGCCACCAGGAAAGCCCAATAAAATTACACTTTTAACATTAAAAGTCAACAAAAGGAATTATGTTCTGATTGTTCTTTTGCTTATATTATTTCAATCCAACTTATTACAAGTTACCTGTTGTACTTAAAGTACAATAATATTTGCTCTCAAAATGGAGATGAGGCTGTGTGGCTATATTTGTTCCTCCGAAGAGTGGATCTCATGAAACACCTGATGATACCGTAGTTTGCAAAGGCTTTGATTAGGTAAGTCTCGATACCGGTCCAGCAATGTAACCAAGAGGGCACATGTAGTGTTCACAGATAACTCTGAAATATAGCATTTTTAAGCATTTTTTAGGTCTTAACTGATAGGGTGACTAAACCCCCTGGAAATTGACCTGAGGGCCCCTCAGGGAAGGCCCAGCAAGCCTGCAGGCAGACCCTCACTCCCTGGGAGGAGGGAGAGGGTCTAGCAAACCATCCATCAGCTTTAAGGAGTTAGAGCCGAGGAAAGGGGTAATCACATCCATCATTCTGGAGTTCAGAGTCAGGACTCCCAGCTTCCTCTCTAAGACACCAAGCCAAGCGCTCAGGCAGATGGAGTAACAGTGCCCTCACTCCTGGACCCCGCAGATAATGCGAGATCAGCTGGAGATGCTGATTTTTTTCTGAGCCACAAGTCAGATGTTTCTGGCCAGCATATTTCAGTCAGTTCTAGTGCCTGAGTTCAAGGCATGGGTTCAGCTACTGGTAGGAATTTGAAGTGGCCATAACTGGGTTTGAAGACATATTGTATGGAGAGCAAAGCTGATTATCACATGATGTGGCTGCCCCAGAGAATCCCAAAATATTTGAGCCAGGACAGCTACCAGTGATCATGGACATCAGCTAGAGATCAGATCATCAAGCACAGCGACAATAAAAAGGTGTTTGCTGTGGTTTTATTTTACCCAGTTTTTCTGGGGGGCGGAGAAGTCATGCGTGTGCATGGGTATGTGTGCGCTTGCACACGTGCGTGTTTTTGAGGGAGAGTAGGTAAATGGAAAGAACGCTAATGCAAAACTCTGGGCAAGTGGGAAGTCTCAGGATCCTTCTGGAACAACGCCATCAGTTGAGCCATGGCCTCAATTCATTACAATGAGCTGTTATTTCAGTTAAAATAGTTGCTCTTCTCAGAAGTTCATTGTAGCAGGATTTGGCATTTAGAAGCACATACTGTGAGGACAGGGAACCATAGAAGATCAAAGAACTCAATTATGAGCAATAAGCTCATCATAGGAAATTTTTGCCAATCCGGATATTCATCTTACAAATTTCTATTTCAATATCATCCATGAGGTATAATTTCTTCAATCAGCTTTATGAATTTGTGGCGAGAAAATGCCTAATAAAAGCCAAATTACTGAATTTATTTTTCTTATGGTGCTAAAATGTTGGTTAAAATATTCTTTGGGAAAGAGGGTTTCATTTTTCTTGCACTGCACAGAACAGTTGATGTGGCATGGCCTGCTCTTATAATTGCGTGTAGTTTTATGCCTACAGCTAGGTATCACTCACTCATAAATATGTTGTTATAAAAAATACCATATTGGATTGTTAGCGTAATGCAAATGTTTCTTTGAAATGCAGGTTGTTTTCCAGTCTCAGTATTATCACAGAGCTCACCCACCCAGCCAACATGAGATTCATGCAATTCAGAGCCAAAGACTGTTACTCCCTTGCTCTTTCAAAGCTGGAAAAGGTAAGAATTCACATCATGAAGTAAGTTGCATTTAACCTTTTGGTTTGAAAGACTAACTCTAAAATTTCTACATGTAGAAAGAAATGCCATGAAACAGTAAAAATAAAAATGCTGTTTTGAATTCCTATATGGGGGCTAAAATCTTAATTTATAATTTTTTAAAAGTATGGATTGATGGATATGAACCATTTATATCACAAGTGAACATGATGGAGGTATCTCGTTCCATCATCGTTAGTCATAAATTGAAAGCATGTTATATGAAAGAATTAAACTCAACAGGAATATATATACTCACTTATAATGTCCATTATTGATAATATCACGAGTGCTATGTCAAGACATCTATATTTATATAGGAATTTGCAGTTTTCATAAATCCTTAAAGTCCTAGAAAACTTGTAGGCTTTATTGAAAGTCAGTTCCCAAAGGAGATAACATGAGACACAAGCTCACAATCTGAGACAAAGCCAAGTTTATTGCTTACGTAAGGGAGGCTGTCACCTCAAAAGAGCTTTTTTTTTTTTTTTTTTTTTTTGGTTTATAAATATTTATTAAAATTAAAAGTTGTTTGCTCTTCTATCCCATGAGCATCCATCCACCTGCCTGTTAAGATGCATGACTGCTGTCATAAATGCCCTTGGAATCTTCAGGATAACAGAACATCTGCCTTTGCTTAAAACTCCTTGTTCCTTGTCTTCCTAGCCAACACCTCTCTTCACAACTTTATATAAAAGGTCTCCAAAATTTGTACCCCAAGTGAGCCATCCATGAATAAAAACGTATACCTGGGATCCAAAAGAAGTTGGCCTGGACATGTCAAAGAGTCAAGTCCACCTAAGAAATAAGAGTGGTTTTATAATAGCCAAAGATGAATTTTCTCCCCACAAGCCTAAAAAATACCTGCAATAAGGTGGAGCTAATTAAGACTCAGGAGAGCTTTGTCAATGTCTTGGAGTGGGGAAAGGAAGGTCAAAGTTTATCAAGAATTGAGAATTGTATTTAATGAGGCTCTTCAAGTGGGGACTTATTAGGATTGGGAAGAGATGAGAATAATGCTAAGGAAGACAGTGGCGTTATTGCAAAGTCATGTTATGGGCACAGAAAGGTGTGGTTTTCTTCTCAGTATCCAGGCTGAGTGTGGGGGTAAATGGATTTTGCATTCCAGGTGTACTTGATACTAGTGTACTGGGAGAATTCGTTGTAAGAGAAAAAAATAAGATCCAATCTTATACGTGTGAAAATGTGTTAAATCTATGCCATCTTTATTGTTTGTAATAAAATTTACAAAATAGAGATAAGGATGGCTTACATATTTTTATTTTGGTTAGTTTTTTTCTTTCACTTCATTTTATTTTGATCACCTGTTACGTCGGGCACTGTCCTGATTCCTGGGTGACGTACTGTTGAGTGAGGTCACTTCGGTACTCTTGTCTGTTGATTACCATCTTCAACGCTGGTGACATACATTGTGTTGGTAGAGCCTTGCCACTGCCCCTTTATAGGCATAGTTACCTTGTTGCTAGGCACTGCTTCCAGATGAGGAAACAGAGTTTAAGACAGATTAAATAACTTGTGCCCAACACACAGTGAGGCCAAATACACTGAAAGGTCAGAGTTTGGAGCAGAAAAAGGTTTATTGAAGGGCCAAGCAAGGAGAACGGGGCAACAAGTGCTCTAAAGACCTGAACTCTCTGATGGTTTTTGGGGAAGACATTTTATAGGCAAAATTTGGGGAGGGGGCTGCAGGGTGTGCTATCCTCCTCTGATTGGTTGGAGGTGGTATTCCAGGAATCTCAATCATCAACCTTCTCGTTCCAACCAGTCTGGGTCCACGAGCTTATGCTCTGCCTGAAGTTACCATCCTCCACCAGGGTGGGAGCCTTAGTTCCCACAGAGCTCAGAGATATGTATGTAAATGTTTCGTACATCCCCCAAGGAGGAACCACGACCAGGCCCCATTGCTGTACTATTCTTTTCTTTTCTTTCCTTGCCTTTTTTCTTTTATTTTTCTTTCTTTATTGAAGTATACTTGATATACAATACAGTGATTCACAATTTTTAAAGGTTATACAAACTAGTGAATATAACAAAAAATGAAGCAGGCTCACAGATATAGGGAACAAGCTAGTGGTTGCTAGTGGGGAGAGGGAGGGAGGGAGGGGCTATATAGGGGTAGGGGATTAAGAGAAACTATAGGTATAAAATAAGCTATAAAGATATATGGATAACAGGGGGAAAATAGCCAGTATTTTATAGTAGCTATAAATGGAGCACAATTGCTTCTTTCTGCATTCCCTCACTCCCCTAATTAGTAAGTGAATCTGCCCTTTGGAACTCAGGGTAGGTCTAGGAGACTGAAAAACAAAAGGCAGTATCCTGCTCGGTTTCACTGAGTGAGTGCAGTAAGAGAAACTTACAGCCATTCATGTTTAGAAAGCATCCCTTATGTCAAACTGCTTTAACAGCATGGAAAGGGTGGGAATCACAGCTAGCTGAATGGCTCAGAATCCAAAGGCAAACCCACGGATGGGAATCCAGTGGAACCCATGCTGGCCTGGTGTGGTACAGTCTCCTCCATGACAAGTGAGGGAGGCTCACCCCATGATGAAAAAGACAGGCTCTACTACTTTGTCAGATTGGAACCTGGATAAATCTATGACACATTTGTAACCTTGGGATTTGTCTCTGGAAAATAGTGGTAATAGCCAAATGATAGGGTCATTGCCAAGATCACACCACACAATCTAGTCACAATATTTAGCCCAGTTTGGGCGTATAATCAGTACTCAAATAAATAGCCCTAAACTCATAATTATAAATTACTATTGTCGACATCATCACTAATAAATATTCTGTTGTGTGTATTCAGTTTTATTCCAGATCAGTTGATGTAGTAAGGTCACAATTGTGGAAGAGATTTTCATATTGGTAAATGTGTGTGTCTATATTATTGTATATCTACTGCATGAGGGAAAAAGAAGAACAAAATGAGATTTTGATCTCTTCTAGGGAATTAATTAAAAATAAAATCTTCATCCAACCTAGAAGTCCTCTTCAGAAATGTAGAAAAGTTTTGTTTGAATAAGCATTAAACCAGACTGTGATATGCATCTCAGCAATCCACTAAAGACATTGCAAAGACAGAAAGACATCTTATCCTTTTATATAGCCAGGCAGATACAGTCATTTACATACATGTTAACTGTCTTGATCCAAAGGAAAAATAAAATGTCTTCTAACTTTGCAGCAAGCAAAAAGTTACAACTTGGAGCCAGGCACCTAGGCTAAGCTCCCAAAGAGAGAGACAGGATACATTACATTCACATTTCAAAAAGATAGTTCCAAGGCCCCCACCCACCCCCCACACACACACCCCACACACCCCGCAAGAAAGGCATTCCCGGAATACAAAGCTAGCTAGAAGTTATTCAGACTTTGTATCCATCTCAAAGAGACATGGAAAGGATTTACAATTCCAAGTTATTTTTAAGGAAACTCTCTAGGAAAAAGAAGTGGGAGAGGGGAGTTTTCTTTCTTTTTTGACATCAGGGAAATTCATTATTTTTAGATTTATATTTACCCTTCCATCTTCTAGATATTTCCCAAGAAGAATACAAAAAATCAATACATTACCTAATTATTAGGAACAGAGGAGTTAGGGGACGTGGAATTGAAACCAATGGTTTGAATGCTATAAAACCATGGAAAATCCTTTTTGAATTCACTTATTATCATTTTTATCCATTGAAATAGGATCGTCACATAGAAATGTTTTAGACTGTTGTGCTATTGTGGGTTGAATTATGTCCCTCCCCCCACCAAAAAAGAGGTGTTGGTGTCCTAACCTCCACTGCCTCAGAAGGTGACATTATTTGAAAATAGGGTTTTTACAGAGATAAGCAAGTTAAAGAAGGCCATTGGGGTGGACCCTAATCCAAAATGACTGGCATCCTTGTAAAAAGGGTAAAGTTGGACACAGAGACAGACACATTTAAAGGGAAGACAGCCATCCACAAGCCAAGGAGAGAGGCCTGGAAGAGACCCTTCACTTACAGTCCTCAGAAGGAACCAAAAAGTGCCAACACCTTGATTTCAGACTTTGAGCATCCAGAACTGAGAGGCAATAAATTTCTGTTGTTTAAGCCACTCACTTTATGATTCTTCCTTATTGCAGCCCTGGCAATCTCACACACACGCCATCAGTGATAATGGTAACTGTTCATTTCTAATCAGTGCTTCTTATCACTTATACATATACAGCTAGTTTACTGTTTAAAGTCATTATCTTCCTATATTTGTATTCTAAGAACAAGGAGGTATTTTTAGTATTAGGAAACTGATCTTTGTTCCAATATTCAAATACATGCCCAATAATATTTTCTAGAGTTCTTGTTGGCTGAGGAAGTGGTGGATTTTTATTCTTCTGAACGCAATTATGAATATCGTTTTATTCTACCTATAATTAGATGCACCTGCACCTTCACGGATGGGGCCTTCACCTTTAGAAACACAATCAAGGTTTTGAATTTAAAACAGACACCAGCTTGGCTGCTTAAGACACTTTTTTTTGTCATGAAGTGGTTGTCATTCAAATTTAAGAAGTGATAGGATTTGCAAGAATGAGTATGGAAGGTTAGCTTTCATTCAGCCTGGTTGCTGATGTGTTCTTGGTAGACCTTGCATTCTCATAGATATGTCGTTGCCATTGGTAATAGAAGGAATACTCTTCAAGGTTTCTCTGGAAGCGACAACTCACTGAAGAATATCCACAATAATAACTTCCTAATGGACCAGACCATCATGCTTTAGTTTGTATTTTTTTCATCTGATCATTCTTTCATCGTTGCTGAGTTGTTTTATTTTCTATTACATTATCTTTCTTGTCTTGGATATTGGCATTACCTTACTGCTACTGTTTACTCAAAAGTACAGTTGTCCCTCGGTATCCATGGGGGATTGGTTTCAGGACTCCTCCCTTCTCACCCCCGCCCCCAGCA